CATTTATCTGCATTAACGTTGTCAAATCATTTTTGTCTTCCAGATAAACTAAGCAAATCCCATAAATCCGCTTCCATTATATCAGCTAGGTAAGTGAAGAAAAGTTCTTGAAGATATTGAAGTTCATACTTCCGAAGTTCTGGACAAAGACATAGAAAGTGATTAATGAATTCTGTCTCTTCTTTATTGCAACTTTTCCAAAGTCCATTTTTCAAAGTACGTGCTCCAGTTAGTGCTCGAACTACAATGGTAAACCTTACTGTATATAAAAACAAATACACTATATCACATTTGGTCAACAGTTGTATTGTTATGTAGTTATATGATAACTTGATATATCAAATCCTTAATGGAATCTGTAAGCGTCTTACCAATAACAGGGCTTTAACTAGTGGCATATAGTAGCGATCTTTAGCTTGAGTCCAGATTAAATCATCTCTCCAAATGATGTTTTCATTCGATGTTTTTAAAATATATTTTTCAATATTTTAAGTTAAATATTTGCGGGTCTTAAATATATGGTTCAGTATTGTAGTATTAAATATACTAATGCACAAGGTAGATGGTTTAACATATAATATCTTACAAATACTGAGACTATCTCATATATTACATGGAAAAAAGTCAGAATTCATACAAAATGCAATATTGTACAATAAAAAAAATGCAATAAATAAAGTGCAAAAAATAAAGTGCAGTAAATAAAGTGCAATAAATAAAAGGGAAGTATTAAAAATATTTAAACACATAACAGTGTTTCTAAGACAGTCAGATAAAATCAAGCACGAATTAATAATATTAAAGTTCAGAAATAAATTAAAGTCGTTATTTTGGAAATGGGCTTTAAAGATAAGAAATATATTTTTATTATAGAACTTAAATAAAAAATAAGTGTTCAGCATTTTTTATATAAAAGTAGGGTTCATTTGAAGTGATTTGGTAGTACTAATTTTAAAATGAGAGCAAATATTATTTTGTTCCTAATCGGAGCGTTAGGATTGGTCAATGGCTATTATAGGACTGTAGGTTTATACCATAGATATAATAAATAACAAATAAAACAAAAAAAACAAAAAAAAAAACAATAACCCATAGTTTAAAACATATTTGGAAAGATGTAATAATATGTTTTAATGTTTTCGAAATTAATTTAAAAGATTTTGTAAGCTCGTGACATTTATTTCATATATTTATTAATATATTTAAGCTATATAAAATTTTGATGTTATGTTCTTTTATAATAATTGTTATTGTTTATTTTTCTTAAAGGGTTTTCAATATTACCCAGGGGTAAGTAATAATTTTTAATATTTAAATATTATATATTAAATACTTTTATAACTTAAAGATATTTGTTTTATTAATTATTAAACAAATTTTACTTTTTTAATAACTTTAATTTTCTTTTAAGACCTTGCAGTTCGATTTTCCGGTAGGTACAAATTTGTTCCTTTCAGTGAGAAATATTTTAAAAATATTAATGTAATATAGCATTGGGTTGACACAATAGTGGCACAAAAGCCAGCACCAGTTGCCGGAGACAAGGAAGAGAAACCAACGCCAACACCAGTTGCCGGAGACAAGGCAGAGAAACCAACGCCAGCACCAGTTGCCGGAGACAAAGAAGAGAAACCAACGTCAGCACCAGTTGCCGCAGACAAAGAAGAGAAGCCAACGCCAGCACCAGTTGCCGGAGACGAAGTAGGGACACAAACTCCAGCACCAGTTGCCGGAGATGAAGTAGGGACACAAACTCCAGCACCAGCTGCTGCAGACGAAGTAGGAAAACAAACGTCAGCTCCAGTTACCGCAGACGAAGTAGGGAAACAAACGTCAGCTCCAGTTACCCCAGACGAAGTAGGGAATCAAACGCCAGCACCAGTTACTGTGAGTTACATACTAGCTATACTAATTAAATCTCAATATATATTTAACTGTTTAGAATCCACCAACTAAGAATGAAGTACTCGAAAAGGATGTTGGAAGTGCTACTATGGTAGATACACATACAAGAAAGAAGCGTTATGTGGAACCACTTGATAAATTCAACATACCAGCAGGTTTACTATTATATTTTTAAACATTTCAAGAACCTAAATATTTAAATATTTTAATTTAAAGATTGTCAACCTGATCCGGTCAGTTAAGGCCGTAAGCCGTGGTATTATGCCTTTATGGTACTTGCAATATTTACTTTAAATATATATAACATATTATGTATAATTTTTTATATTAAACAACCCAATCTTGTGGTATATACATTAACGAGTTAGGTGGTTTTGAAGAAAGTTAGGTGAAGAATTATATTTTTTTTGTGAAGGGGAATAAATTAATCTAATATGTGACCTCAGAAATAAGAAAACTTAGAACTTATTGATCCAGTGCAAACATTTGATTGGCAGATGATTATAAAATAATTATGAATGAATTGAAAATTAGTTTTAATTTAGTTTTAAAATAAATTTGTGTGATGCTTACTTCATCCAGAGGCGGCTGTATATATTATTTTCCAAAATGCTCTTGTTATTTGTTAAACCATTTATTGTCCGGTGTTCGAAATCTGATCAGTCAGTTTCTAACTTGAGTCAAGCATAGGACGTGTCCTATACTAAGAGTACATGTCTGAGTTTTTAGCAAGGCTTTAAAATTTGGGGCGTTCTTTATATTTTTTAAATATAATATTATATTTATTAATTGTTCATTAATATGCAAGTATTAATAGTGATTATAATAACTTTTATAACAACTTTAGTACTTAAAGCAAAATGATTGTACAAATTGCACTTTGCTTATTTATCTTAAGTGAACGTTCATTATAATAGGCTCACTATGGAGAGATTGATTTATAATTAACTTAATTATCTACAAATTATATATTGATATATTAATCATTATATCTTTTTTTATTAATATTAATAAGAACAAAGATTTTATTAAATACTTACTTCCTCAGTGCCTTTGTTTACAGTTCTAGTTTAAATTATTTGTTTACATTTTACATATAAAACATATGACACATAGGTATTACAAATTTTGATCATTTCTTTTGTGGGAAATTTATCTGTAAGGGTTGCATTCGACATTTTTCGCTTTAAATGAGCTGATTTATTAATAATGAGCTCATTTCTATGAAAGTACTTTGTGTGTTAAATCATTCTCATTAGTGGCTATAATGTGCAATACCACCTAAACGAGACAGTGTGAATGTGCTATTAGCGTCTTTATTTTTTGCACTCTATTTTAAGAATACTTGAATATACCTGAAACCAACAGGTGAATAAAAAGTATAGGAACGTTTTTCGTTGAATATGTTACATATCTTCTTCTTCTGTGTTTGATGAAACGTGGGTTAGTGTCTAAAGCATTTTTACTCAATAGTGTCTTTTCTACGGTATATGTATTGCATTTGATATTAAAGCGCTTTGTCTTTGATTTACTTTTGCACATTCTCGAATATTAAGTCTGTATATATATCGTCATATCTGATGTACCATGGAGCTTATAGCATTTGTCTTATTAAAATATTCTGATAAGTATGAAGTTTTGCCATAAGTAACACATCCATAAAGTAGTTTAGGAGTATTTGTTTGCTTATAAAGAA